TCGTAGGCCATCACAGAGAGCAGGATGACCTCAGACACTATGAAAAATAAGAAACCTCCCAGTTGGATGGCACATTCATAGTATAAAATAGTATTCTTCTTCACTACAAAAGCAATCAGCATTTTAGGGCCAATGACCGAAGAGTTGCCAAGATTGATGATAGCCAAATGCCTCAGGAAAAAGTACATGGGTGTTTGAAGTCGAGAGTCAAGGCTGGTGAGGGTGATGATGCCCAGGTTCCCTGCCACGGTCAGCACATAGATCACCAGGAAGACCAGGAAGAGAGGAACCTGCAGCTGTGGAGTGACTGAGATGCCAGTGAGAATAAACTCAGTGACCTGGGTGAAATTTCTGGGAGCCATGTAGGATTTTGTATATTCATCTGTTTAGGGAAAAGAAGAAATGCATACAATTTTTTAAAGAAATAATATTAAAGGGCCAATAGATGGTGTAGTGGGTAAAGCCCTGGACTTCCACATGGCCAACCACAGTTCAAGTCCAGGATCTGGTAGCTTGAAACTCATGCTAGATGTATGTATGTGCATGCCTAAAATCCTTTGAGGAGAAGTTGGAGAAGGGATTGAGGCATGGCTGTCTCCTTTTGGGGAGAGGGCTCATTTCTCACTATTTGTCTCTCTGGAAAGTACATGTGCCCTACAGCAAAAATCTCTCTCAAAAAAAAAAAAAAAATAAAACAGAAAGAAAGAAAGAAAAAAAAAAAAAGAATTTTAAGACAACCATAAAATGGCAAGAGCATTTTGCGTGATAGTTACTTTAATAACAATGCATTAATCTAGCAGTTATGAACTCAGTTTTCTAGGTCTAATAAATAAACTTCGCAATGCTATGAGAGATAAAAAAAGCAAGTATAGCAAATTGGGTTTTGTAATTTAAATAAATAGCCCAAATCATGGGATGCTTTTATGATAGACTCCTTTATCAATCTATTTAATATATGAAATTATCCTTAGTTTGCACATATTAGCAGCCATAATTTATGTTTTATGTTCTTTTCATTGAGCCTGAGAGAGACTTGAGGAATTGTATGTCCAGAAATAATCCAATGGTTCCTTGCAGTCTCTTAACTTTCTTACTGCTTCTGAGCGAAAGCTCATTCTAGGCACTATCTTTGTCTCTTGTATTTTATCTTGTCATAATATGCATTTGATGTATCTTGAACTTGAAAATTCTTACCTTTGTGCCTTATTATTTTTTCTCATTTTCATTTTGTTAATTACAATAAAAGACGTGTAGATATGTCCTTAGATTTATTTTCCAAATCATTTTTTAGTTCTTAATAAGTAATATTAGTAAAATGTTGTCATTTTGTAGTTCCTTGATATCATGCCTTACTGAGACTTCTTTCTAAATCTTCCCTCTCATTACTCTTCTTTTTATATCACAAGTTGAACCAGATTTTTTTTTTTTTTACTTTTTTTCTAGAGACAAATTTTTGCTATAGGGTGCATATACTCACTAGAGAGACAGAAAGTAAGAAAATACCCCCCCAAGGGGGGATGATCAAACAGCAATACCTTCTCCTCAATTTTCCTCTTAGGATTTTAGGCCCACACACATGTGCCCAGCATGAGTTTTATGCCACCGGATATAGACTTGAACCATAGTCAACTACATGGGTGTCTAGTGACGTACCCATTATGCCATGTGCCGGTCCTCTTTTTTTCATTTTCATTTTTATTTTTTTGCAAGAGTTCTTCTGCAGTGTCCATCTAGAAACAGAGAGAAGGCAAAGGAGAAATTATCCCACATGGAGCATGGGCCTGCTACAATCTACGCTTCTTCATTTCTACATCCTTTTTGAGATTTTGGGTACACATGCACTGTCTTCACATTTTCAAGCTGCTGGATTAGGCATATGAACTGCACGGTCAACCATGTAGCATTCACTTCCCTTAACTACCACATCACATCAGTCTGTGTGTACTTAATAGTAGTATTATTTTTAAAAAATCTTTTGCCAGAGGGTGTGTGTTCTCATTGGATAGAGACAGTGAGAAACAGAGAGAGGGGTTGACCATGTTGCAATCCCTTCTCCATTCTCGACTTGGGATATTGGGAATGAATACATAGGTACCTGAAGTGATTGTCAAGCCACTGGGTCTTGGACTTGAACCACAGTTGGTCATGTGGGAGTTCATTGCCTTAACCACCATGCCACCTGCTGGCATCTATATTATTTTTTGAATAGCATTTTTACATATAAAATGTATATTTAAAAAATTATGAGATATATCTACACTTTAAATACTATTTGAAATGATCTGTTCACATTTAATACACATTTCAAAGATGTACAAATTAGCAATGTAAACTTCAATGAATTGTCACAAAACAAGTCATCTCTGTTGGTATCACTTGGTAGGGGAAAATATAATACCATCATCTAAGAAAATATTCTCATCTACTTAATACTGTTTTATTGTTTTTTTCACATTTGACATTTTTGTTATTGTAGTAATTATATTCATTATTCTGTTTTATGCATATAGTAATTTTATTGTACATATTTGCCAGATAATATGCATTCTATTTGACTAAATATTTTCTTCTAATTGTTCACTTAAGAATGATCACTGATCCCTAACATAGCCAATTATAGTTCCCTCCCATCAAAATTCCTAATTCACTCAGCAGTAAATCTTCCATACTCTTCCACTTTCTGTCAAAATCCAGGGTTTTGTTGGTTTTTATGGCTGAATAGTATTCCATAGAGTATATGTGCAAGCCAGACTATGAAGGAGAGACATCGTATGCCCCCACTTAATATGTACTGAGTATCTGCACTCTGTGACTGAAACTGATTGACCCAAGGTTGTGCAAACACAAGAGATAGGAGTTAATGCCAGATGTGGTGTGTGTGGAGGAGTGGGGCCTAAGGAAGACGTTTGGAGGAAGGATACAGAGGCAGAGCATTGACGGGATGGGGAGGTGTGGTTATCGGTAGAAGACATTTTGATTAACTGAACTGGGGAGAAATGCTCACATATTAAAATGTTCACTTTGTAAGCTAAATAATGTGATTGAATGTATATAAGAATTAAAAAATAAATAAGTAAATAGAGAAAAAAATTCTTAGTTCACTTGTGAGTACTGATCCAATGTCCTGGCAATTTCTAATCTTAAAACTTGTACTTAATTCCAGAGAGTGAAAAGTTTAGTATAAATATCTAAGTTTTATGTTCTAAGCTATTGAAACGTTGTCTCTTTTTAAAAAGTAAAAAAATATTTTGTAGTGAGAAGTAAAGATGAAGTGACATTTAAGAATAATCAGAGAAATGAGACCTAAATAACTGCTAACATTGCAAAATCTCAGATAAGAGTTTGCTTTTGGCCCCAAACATAAAGCATTTCTCTTTTAAAACCAGTTTCTTAATCATTTTTCACCACGTATGTATTGAATTTCTGCTATTTACCAGATAACACTTACACTGAAGAAAAATAACTTGTCCCTTACATCATGGACATGATATTCTAATGACAGGAAAGAGATAAAAGATGTTATAGAAACTTCTGAACACATAATGGTAAATTGCAATGCATGATAAATAAATAAGAAAATGGGTTAGAATAATCTGAAATATAAACTTCTTTTTGAAATTCCATGGAAGACATTTTTGAGAGTTACATTTGAATTAAAACTGAAAGCATAAGGAGGAATTAGTTATTTAATAGATCATAGGAAAAACACTGCCAGATTATGTATGAGAGTACATTTCTTCAGTAAGACATTTCAATATGTGTTCTTTTTGACTGACTTACTACCTCAAATAATCTCCCAATCCTACGTGCCCCTTCTGTATGAAACGAACTTGACCAGTCTTTTTATTCATGAACATTTAATGAAAAATCAAGAAAAGAAGTCCAACAAGAAGAATTCAAAGGGCTGTCAAGAACAAAAGGAAGACATAGTGTGTCAGGAAAATTCTGTCTCTATGGCCATTAACTTGCATGCTCTACACAATAACTCTAGGAAGTAGGTCATAATTCCATCTCCATTTGAGAGACAAGAAGGCTGAGGCACATGGACTTGGAAACTGTAAGAAAAGTCATTTTGAATATAAGTGGTGAAGTCAGAATTCAAATAAAGTCATTTTGCCTTTAGAATAAGTTCTTATAAACTCAAACATGAAATCTCTCTATTAAAGGGATCCTACCTTGAAAGAAATTGAAGAATGAAGTAGGAGACTCACTTACTAAAAAAAAAAGATAGATAAAAATCTATTATGATATATGACTAACACATTCAGTTGTTTTGAAAAGTAAGCTGGTATTAATAAGGAACACACAGAGTTCTGGGCACTCTGTAACAGGTCTGTCTTCCACTTCACTCCTACTTGAAGGAAGAAAAGTACATAGTGAAAGAAGAAACAGCATTTTTTTAAAAATCATATATTTGGGGCTGGCAGGTGGCTTGGTGGATAATGGTGCTGGACACCCACATGGCCGACCATGGTTCGAGTCTCTGACCTGGTGGTTTGCTTTCTCACTTTCTCTCTCTCACTCTCTCTTTCTGTCTTTCTGGTCAAATTAAACAATAAAATGAATGAATAAATAAAATTAAATAAATAATTATTTAAACAACGTCATATATATATATATAAATAAATAAATAAATAAAGGTAAAATAAAATAATTCTTTAAAAAATTGAAAAAACCTCTATTTCATAAAATATTTAATAAAATTTCTTTAGTAAAAGCATGCATTTGTATGGACTCTTGTTTTAAGAATAAAACAAAATAAAACTTTACCATGATTCTAAGGTTATCCAAGAGCATCATATGAGCTCTCAAATGAGGAAGACATTGTTTTATAGTATACTGGGGCCTTCAAGATCCTGGTGATAACTGCATTTAAAATATAAGACCTTGGGGAACCAGCAGTTGGCGTAATGGCTATGTCGCTGGACTCCCACATAGTCGACCGCAGTTCGTGTCCCAGACCCGGTGGCTTAAAACTCATGCCGGGAGCGTGTGCGTGCGTGCCCAAGATCCCGAGAGGAGAATGGAGGAGAAGGGATTGCGGCGTGACCATCCCCCCTGGGGGGTGATTTCTCGCTTTCTGTCTCTAATGTCTCTCTCTGTCTGGCGAGCGCACGCGCCCTATAGTGAAAATCTCTCCAAAAAAAAAAAAGACCTTGCAATAGCCAAAGAACAATGTTTGTACTAACCTTCATGGAGAATCTGCTTTGTCTTTCTGCTGTTTCAATTCTCAGAGGTTGTTACAGAAAGAATTTAAGTTTTTGTCCCATCCCTTTGAGACTCACCGCACTGATACTTTCACCCAATTGGTTGGTTCATTGCGTAGAAGTTTATATCTGATTCAAGGTAAATAAATTACACA